TGATCTACACTCAACTTTTGTCTATACCATAATGCCAAATTTATCTCATATTATACCAAGTTTTCTCGCGATTATAGCGGTATTTATTTTGCATTCAAAATTCGTAGACAGGACGCCGTTGTTGTTTTTGTTGTAAATTACATAAAATAAACATAAGTTATAAAATTTTTAAAGCATCAATGAAATGGGTATATCTGCGGCTAATAGCTGGCATTCATGTTTTTGGAAAGTTTATTTATATTTTAGATAAAGTTATTATACTATTTCTTAGATAGCTGCATCACTTTGGCTGTGAATCATTGTAGGGAATGATGTACCGATATCTACATCCTATGAATACATATGTAATGTATATGATTTTAGTTACGGGATTAGATGAAATCTTATTGAAACGTTAACGGCAGGAAGAAACCACTTTCCACAAAAAATCCGTCTTACAAAAACTTAATTTTAGTGGTACATTTACACTTTTCAAAGAAAATTAAAAGTTTCTCCACTTACTAATTATCGGCCTCTTATTTCCCTTTATTCTTTGGCCTGTGTATTATGTGAGTCCGCTTTGTTTTTTTTTTTTTGTTTTCAAAGGGGGAATCTTCGGAAGATACCACCATTTTTCCGGGTGACATGTACGATTCGTATCGTACACTAAAGGTACACCTCATTCAGGACCACGCACAGGTGGTATTACCTATTTATACTGGACTTGCGAAACAATACGCCTACGTAACTAGAACCCTTTACTGCAGCTGCTGTAGCTTTTATTTGGCTCTGCGGGACCGCCGTTAAGCACTACTTCGCTGGGCCAAGCTGAGTAAAAATGCCTCTTCACACATTTTCTGTAAAGTTATTCACCGTCTTTCGTTTCACCGTTGCCGTTCTTTTATTCTAAGTTCTTGTAGCGCTGTCGCGGCCCATTCCTTCATTTTAGCCCACACCACCCCATAACTCACAATGTTGTTGGGTGTCACCATTTCGTTTATCATCTGCTCTACATTGGCTATCTCCACTTGATGAGCTCCGAAGACATTATTTGCCGGATATGATGATGGCCGCTTCATGCGACACTTTCCTTAATGCACAGGCAACTCTAATGACGCTTAGCATGAAAACTGTATTTGCCTTGTTGGCATATAATTTTTGACCCAGAGCCTTTCCCCATATAGGAGCTGCATACATCAGTATTGACTAGCTAACTTTAGCTAGTAGAATTCTCCCTTTATGACTAGGGTTACCCATGTTGGCCATGACTCTCGCCAGGGCCGCAGCCATAAAGGCCGCCTTGCTACAGGGCCTTTCAATGTGCGGCTTAACGTTGAGCCTTGCATCGATCATTTCTCTAAGGTACCTCAGTGCGTTTTGCGTTATAACGCTATGGCCATCGATGTCCAAAGTGACCACTTCAAGTTTTTTCCTACTTGTAATAAGAACAGCTTCTGTTTTTTCTCCAGCAAGTTGTAACCTAGACGTAGTGAGCCAGAGTAAGCTCTTTCTCAACAATCGCTACAGCGATGTCGTCCGCGTAGCCAATCATATAGCACATTCCACAACAACAGACCCAGTACTGATCCTTGCGGTACGCCTCCTTTCACTTCGTAGTTTTTTGACCCTGACTCGGAATCATACAATAGCAGTATATCAGACAGATAGCTATTTATTATCCTCAGCAGATTCCCTAGAGTATTTCTTTTCTCTAATGCCCCCATAATGTGCGGCCAATATGCCGAGTAAGAGGCATTTTTCACGTCAAATGTGATGACTACCCAATATTTTTTTTCGCCATACATCAACCTGGTACCCTCTATGGCCATGGTCGCAATGTCAGTCAGTTTGTCTCCTGAAGCCGAATTCGTTGTCAGATAGGCCAGATGACTCGTTTTCTAGGTGGTTTTCCGAGCGTGTACAGATCAGCAACTCCAATATTTTACGGGCTTACCCTTGGAAGTAATGTTCCTACCCTAGTTCCCTGAGGCCTGTTCTTCGCTTTACCAGTCCCGGGAAACACGGACAGACTGGTGCTCGCCCGTGGTAACGCCGGCTACTACTCCTGCGTCCAATACACACTTTCTGACCAAGGATCGAAATGGCTGTTTACTGATACACACCGCGGCTGACACCTCGGCAGAGCAAAGCTCAAATCACTCTTTCCATTTCGTCAGCACAGACGTCGCTGTGCAAATTTCCAGGGGCTCCCAGTGCGCCGCGTTGTGTACCGGTCAAATTATTACATCAGCGGCACCTAGCATGGTGAACAGACGCTGAACAGGAAAGCCGCCCATTGGACCCGCACTTGAAATTTTTGTATAATTCAACACCTGTTTCCAAGAGGCGGCATCGATTCGCCACTGCCACAGAAGTATCATCGGTGTTTGTAGTTGCACCTCTCTTGTGGCAAGTTAATTGGTGTTCTTTAAACAACAACAACAACGTTTTATATATGTGTGCTTCCTCAACATTTTTCAATTTTATATACATTCGTCCATTAACATATACATATGTACATATTTTCTTTTGATTTGGTATGTTTGATGTTTGTATGTATTCGCACTTGAATGTGTGTTAACACTGTATTTTTTCAATATTAAAAAATTAGAATTTCTTTTTGTTTTTTATTTATGTATGGTTTATAGATGTATGTGTCACGTTTGTACACTTTATATGTATGTAAAAAGCATTATATATATATATATATACATATATGTTTTTTTTGTGTGTGCGTGTGCGTTGGTTATGTTTGTATTTGTACACTTTCTGAATTAAATTTTTTTTGCTTTTGGTATGTATGTATATGTGGGTGTGTGGGTATTTAAAAAAATTTTTTTTTCGGAATTTTAATATTGTATTTTAATTAATTTTTTATATTTTTAACGAATGCACGGTAGAGCGGCGGTTGTAGCCTATATATTTTTTAGGCAATGTTCAATTTCGACCCAGAAGAACCATACTTAACGGCGTGAAAATCTGTGGCCTTTTTAACGCTTGCCGAACTGACGCTGGCCCGAGTGAAATAAGGAAAAGCTATCCTTTTTCTATTAAATTGTAACTTTCACACTTTATTGTTAAAAACATTTTTATGTTCACAAGTTTAGGGCTTATTGTTAAGTGATTTTCACCAATTTAATTTTGGATACATTAACAGCATGCGGACTTGACTTCACACTGAGACTCCGCGTTAAAAGTCGTTGTGCGCGCGCGTAGGTGGGTGGATTGATAGGAAAGGCGTTTACATTATTGTTTTATGTTGAGCGTTTTGGTTGTGACGAAACCTCGATATTAAATAGGGGCAACGGAGACCAGAGACAAAAATGCAAAGTGCATTTTTTCTAGCCGATCGTTAATAGCGTCAGTAAACTCAGGTAAAAACTTAATCAAAAACAAACTAGAGTTACCTGTGGCAATCGCAGTATTAATCGAGACTGGCAAGTAAGGTTCTACATTTGGGTGCTGCAAACGTCCAAGAGCTAAACTAATACCTTCAATTCTACTAACCAATTCTTGTGTTGCTTGTTAGTTGATTGTCCTAACTATCTCTAATACTTCTTCCCTATGAACACTATTACATTTTACTTGCAGAAGACGGAAAATTAGAGTAAAAGTACGCGATATTTAAGCAAGAAGAGAAAAAGTTTTAAGTTTTTATTTGGTTTTAAATTCGGTGCAACCATATACATATAATTTCACTAATAACAATTTACAGGCGCGTCTAAACTTTATTTTCAGGAACAGGAACAGGATTTTTTTTGAAAAATGCAAAAATGTTAATTCATGTCTTATGTTAGGAGAAATTGAATACTTATGAGCCCATGGGAACCACCTAAGGAAAATCCTCGGCACCTATTTCGGGCTACAACATTTTTAGAAAAATGTTTGGTTTTAATGTATTTCAACAAAAGTTAGAGAAATGTAAAAATTTGGTTGAAAAAGAGGTTCGGAATAATCGATGAATATAAATTGATAACGATTTTAAGTTATAAATTTTCATTTTACAAAAAAAAAGACGGACGAGAAATAAAAAATTATATTGAGTAAGAGGTTCTAAAATAATTTTGGAATACACAATTTTCGTCACAGTAATCTTAAGAGCACGTTGAATTTATGGTTCGATTTCTTTGCTTTTCATTGCTTTCATTGGATTCTGGTTTTCAAGGTCTTAGTTGCAATTATTGTTATTGAGTGAACCGATTTCTAAAACTCCGCGTTACGATTGACGCCAGTGTGTAAGGTGTGAAGGATAAAGCATGACCGGTTAGTGACTCAATGTTTCACGACAGTGTTGTTGCCGCCTAAGTGCATGATAACACTCGAAGTTATGAGTCCGAGTTGAAGACGATTCAAAATAAAATTATTATTTAAGGGCAACAGCTCCTTTTAACTTCGTTTATCTTCTTGACTAACTTAAATTTTTATGCTTATGTCTACTTATACTAAATATTTATAATAGTTTCTATCTTTGCTGATATATACTATTTGGTGACATGTTGATTTGTTTGGTGATAAGGTTGTTACTGAAAATATGTTTAGAAATTTTTGCTGATAAAGTTGTTATTGCAAATATGTTAACAGCTTAGTTATCATAATGTTTTGTTAATTATCAAATAGTATGCTTGCGTTATCTATTCTATCATGTTCTTATTATATAACGATAATGGTTGCTTATGGGCATTCTTGTTTACTTACAATTATTATGTATGGATTTGTGAATGCGTGTATGTATGTATGTAGTGTCGTTAACTCTCCACCGTGTTAAAAAATGAAATGTCCGACACCATGATCTGGCCAGACCTTTTTCGTTTTTGGAGATAAAAAATACATACTCATTATGAATAATACATATATTTTGTATGGAAACATATGTATTATTCATAATTAGTGAATAGATTGAATTCATTTATAATATATGGGCAACGCTTTAGTGAATGATTTCAATCGAAATTCGGAAAATGTTGAAGAAAATCTTGCATTGAACGACTACGACGATGGTGATGATAGTAGAGATTTAGATTATGTGCAGTGATGAGGAAATTGTAGACGAAGAACAACATGCAACCGTTCCAGTTATTCAACGTGAAGCTACGGCCGAAAGTTTCTTTGGTAAAGAGTGCACAGAATGGAAAAAGGAGCAAATCCCAAGCCGTACGTGCCAGCATAATATTATGCGATTCAGACCTTGTCCAAAACTTTCAACATCGGTTCCGATTGAGTATTCAAAAGTTTTTTTACACCGAATATTTCATTCATTATTATTACCGAAACAAATATAACTGCAAAAATTGCTACTCAAAAATGGAATGAAGAAAACCCAGATTCAAAGCCAAGAGTTTGGGTTGATTTGACTAGTACTGAGCTTGATGCATTTATTGGTATACTTTTTGCTGCTGGTGTTACAAACAAAAATATGCAAGAGTCAGCACTTTTATGGCGTTCAGATTCTTTGCCCAACTTTCGTGCGGCTATGTCATATAGACGTTTCCTTGCATTGGCCCGATATATTCGTTTCGATGATAGTCGTACGCGTCAATTTCATTAAGCATCCGACAAAGCGGCTCCTATTCGCGATATACGGAATTTTTTGAACGAAAACCTCGCCAAAAATTGTGAGCCGCTTGAAAACGTAACCATTGACGAGCAGTTGTTTCCATATCGTGGTAAAACTAAATTTTCCCAGTTTATTCCATCAAAACCAGCTAAATATGAAATAAAGTTTTGGTGGGCATGCGATTCAAAGACAAAATATCCATTGCAAGGTAAATTATACACAGGCAAAGAAGGAAACGAGCGTGAGGTGAATCAAGGCGAAAATGTTTTGATACAATTGTCGAAAAATTACAGTCACAGTGAACGAACGATTGTTCCTGATAACTTTTTCACAACATGGCTGGCCAATATTGGTCTCGCATTTGTCGGTACAGTTCGAGCCAACAAACATTTTTACCGCCTGAAATGAAGCAAAATCCACTGCGTCCATTACTCTCATCTTTGTTTGGTTTTCATGAAAATTTGGTATCGCTTTGCAGTTACGTGCCAAAAAAAAAACAAAGCCGTAAATTTGATTTCAACCATCCATTATACAACAAAAGTCGGAGGCGAAGCGAAAAAACCGGAAGCAATTTTGTATCATAATATCAACAAAGCTGGTGTCGATTGCATGGACCAAATGGCGATTCAGTTTTCAACAAAGCGACCGACCAACCGTTGGACTGTGGCTTTCTTTTTCAATATGTTGGAAATTATGGCATTGGCATCGTTTGTTATTTGTAAGGAAATGGATGGTACATAAACATGACGCGAGACTTTCATTTTTGAATACATTACTCAAATCATTGGTTCTTGCAAACGTTGAAAACCGTATGAACAACCCAAAAGTCATATCTCAATTTACAACTCGAGCTGCTGTTGAATCTTTCTTTGGAAAACCAATAAACATTGCACCAAATTTGCTGACAATGCATCGCAGTGGAGCAGATGCACTCACCAACAAGAAAGACTGTCGTATTTGTTTAGATGGCGAAGAAAAGCTTCGACGCAAAACTCGTTTCTTTTGTACAGCATGCTCAAATCAGTTTGGGTACAGCATTCGAAAACCAATTATACATGTTTTGCTTGCGTTCCACAGACCGATGCTAGTTAGTATCAAATTTCATAAGAAAATCCATTCAAATCCGTATACAATTGTCCAAACAGTATTCAAATGTATTGGATGAGTGCATAGGTTCGTGCCCGATTCCGCTGGATGCCTTTCGAATTGTTTGAGAGTGGCGCTCGTCAAAGAGTTCTTTTCCATCATGACAACGCCAAGCCACATGTTGCAAAACCGACCCTGGGCAAACTGAAGGAGATGATTTGGGAAATCATGCCGCATCCCCCATATTCACCCGACATTGCACCTTCTGATTATCATTTGTTTCGATCGCTGCAGAACAATTTGAATGGAGAAAATTTTAAAAATGTGGAAGACGCCAAAAACCACCTTGACACCTTTTTCAACGAGAAACCGCGCGATTTCTATGAATCAGGCATCTGTAAATTGGTTGAACGTCGGGAGTGGATTGCCGATGATGACGATGGCGAATACATAATTGATTAATAAAAGCGCTTTCTTCAAAAAATTTCAATTTTAGTTTGTACTTGAAATCGGGCACGAACTTATGCACTCATCCAATATACAATATATGTATGTATATGTATATGTATCGCTTTAGCCATGTATTTGTATGAAATGTGTATGCTAGTGATTTTAGTGTAATTTTAAATGTTAATAATAATAAAACTATTGCAAAATTCGGCTTTCCCCCACTTTTAGTGAAAAGATAATTATCAAATACACTTATTTAGCCAAAAACCCTATAATTTTTGGACAGTTTTAGCAGTCAGTCAGTTCTGCGGCTAAACTTTGGCAAAATTCAATAAGAGTACTAAGTACTCGTTCAACTTGAGCGTTTGATGTCGAATGATATACCGGCGTAACAGAATGTTGTTGCTGTTAAATATACTTTCGTTACCGATCATCAGATACGTAGTATTTGAGTTTGTAAGTACTTCTTCTATTGATTCATGGCAATCAATCTTTATATTTAGCTTTCGTATATAACAATATTTGGAGTATCTATCTATTGAGCTAAGATATGTAATATGTCCATTTTTATGTCCTCTCCTGCTTGTGTTGTTATTGGAGTTTTTTCAATAGGCTGTTCATTTGGTTGTTTTTCGTATTTGTTCTGAAGACATATTTCACAGCCTACGACTAGTTTACGTCACATTTCTTTATTATTGGGCCTGTAATGGGACAACCATATTTCTTGTGTGTTATTTTTGTAGTTCCTGTGAGCACGTTACGTGTTTGTGTGACGATTTCTCTTTGTCACACATCTTCACCGACATTCTGGTGTCCAGGTTTATAGACTACATCTCATATTTGGGTGCTCAACCCTTGTGCTAAAATACTATATGCATCCAAATGAGTTGCATAAATTTGCTTCTAGAAACTTCAAGTTTTAAAGAAAATTATTATTAAAGAACAGGAGTTTGAATAGAATTGAATTGTTCTGCTATAATTTAGAGAATATCAGTGTGTGAAATATTATGGGAAAGACTGAAAAAATGCAAAAGGGACAGCAATAATAGCAATAAAAACGAAGATAAAGTAGTGACCAAAGTAGACAGTGAAAATTATAATAAGTGCGAAATCATGGAAACTAAAATCGAGGAAAATAACAAAAGTTTCAGGACATAATTCAGTTACTTACTTCAAAAATGCAGAAAGATGACATCCGCCAAAGTGAGCCTAAAATCGCCGCGGAAAATTTCGGAAATATTGTGTCTAATTTTGATGGACAAATTGTACCTGCATAACGTTGGTTTGCTAACTTTGAGCAGAACGCGGCTGCATAAGGCTTAACTGAGCAGTAGAAATTTGTGAAAGTTTGCGACAAAATGACGCAAACAGCACAACTTTATCTCGAATCGGTGTTTGTAAGTACATATGATGAACTAAAGAATGAAGGTTAGGCGAAAGAAGAGTTGTGAAACTTTCCACGAATATTTTAAACATAAAAAAATTGCAGCTTTAAGTGACGTAGGAAGCTAATCTGTCATTCGTTATATTGTTGACGGATTGAACATCAAAAGCGAATGTAAATATAGTATGTACAGCTGTAAATCGTACCTTGAGCTTTATGAAAAATATGAAGTGCTTGAGCATATGGGCAATAGCGAAACCAAATATAAACAATACGGTGTCATCAAAGTGTACAGACCAAAAAAATTATTCGTTGCTTTAATTGTGGGTCCTCAGATCATTTGAGGAAGCACTGCAAAACTGATTTTGAATGTTTCAAACGTAATGATAATGGGCATTTCGCTAAAAAACTGTCCACAACTCACAAAACGCGTTGAAGTGGTTTGGTAACAATAGGGTGCTTTCATTGACAATGTGCAGGTTGACGGGGTTCAAATTTATCAAAAATTAATTGTCGTACCTGATTATGCGGTTCGGTATGACGCTTTACTGAAGTTTGATTTTGCATCGAACTTATGCTTAACGCTCGATGAAAGTGGCTTCTAGTTTACGAAAATATCAGTCCAAAAAATCTTAATACATTAAACGAGCTAACGGTATACAATGTTACAAATGCGATACTAATCTACGCGCCTAGACAGTAAAAATATGATCTATAATAAATGATTATTAACCTACACAAAACGAGGTCGAATGTCCTGTGTCTCTAAAAATAGTTCCTAATGGGCAGATTAAGCCGATTCGTCATCAACCAAGTCGCCATCCACCTGTTGAATGTGAAGCCATAAAAATACAAATAGATTATTGTAAAAAAGAAGATCAGTACTCAAAGTTTGTGTTGATTATCGCCAGCTGACAGTATGGTGCTAAAAGACTGCTTCGCAGTACCTATTATCGAAGATGTGGTTGAAAAGCTTCAAACAGCAAATACATTTAGAGGCATGAATATTTGAAAACAGTTTTTTCAACGTTCTTATCGACGAACCAAGCCGCAAGTTTACTCCTTTTATCACAAAGCAAGACCTTTATGAATTCAACAGAGGTCCGTTTGGTTTTTGCAACTCCCCAGCTGCTTTTAGGCCATAGAATTGAAAATTTGGCCAGGTCTAGAAAAGACAAGTGCTTTTAAGAATTTTCCAACACCGAAGAATGTGAAAGCAGTACAGGCGTTTCGAGGCTTAACCGGATTTTTTCGAAAATTTATAAAAGGGAATGCACAGATAGCACGTCCACTGACAAATTTGTTGAGAAAAAATGTGTCTTTTAAGATTGAAGATGACGAGCTGAAAGCAGTCAGTCATTTGAAAAAAAAAAAAAGTTAAGTGCCAAACCCGATTTATAGAAGAAACGATCCTACAGAATTGCACACTGAATCTTTGACAGACGGTTTTGGTGCTGTTCTGATGCAAAAATTTGATGGAGACCTGTATTTTACTGAGGTAAAAGAAACAACGACTAGTTATGCTAATCGTCACAGCTATGTTTTAGAGGTCAAAGCAGCTTATCTTGAGATTGAAAGATTCAAAAATTATCTCCTGGGCGTAAACTATATTCTCGTCAGCGCTATTTTAAAATTCTTAAAACTCACCCTTATAAAGGATACAATGTCCAGGGAGAT